AAGATATTCACTATTTGCGATAAAACTTGCACTTTAAACAATGTTAATCTCTCTTTTTAGCGATAAATCCATTATTTTTAAAATCGAAGCAGAAATGAAAACAAGTCGTCTGTTTGAAATTTGGGAATGGAATGCAGAATATCTGAAGAAACAAAACTAGTTTTCCGCTATGAAATCATTGAAATTTTCGTTTTCTGACTAGCAATCTGCAAAATTAGCATGAAGTCAAATGGAAAGTAATTCTGGTGACAAATTGAAATAATGATGATTTTGATTAATGAACAATAGTGCATACTGAATAAAGTGGATTTTAGGATTTCTTGTGACTTTCATACCCCATGCAACATGTAGGTACCTGAGAATTACTTGTTTACAGTTTATTTCACGCATAATATGTTCTGCCCAAAATCTCAGGTGGAACAAGCTCCTTAGAAAATGGCTTCAGATTAGGAGTCCGAGGTATATAAGGAGCATAGGGACGTTAACCGGGGCTCTTACTTGTAGGAGTAGTTTGTGCCCCAAAGCTATTAAAGAGTTTTAAGACCGCGTTATAGCATCCTGGCGACTAAATGCACACTCCTCCATCACATTAAAACCCAAGAGGATTCTTATAAATTTGTACTGGTACATAAACAAATAGATTGAAGAAATGCCCATGTAGAAAACGCATGGTTTTTCTCATCAGTTTTGTAGCATTATATTGATGGATGAAACTTGACATTTTAGTATTAATAGAATGCTTCCAATTACAATTACTTATTTTTGATTTTAACTCAAAATCATTTAAGTCATGACTGTATTTGTAGACCCCTACAGTTTGGGGTATTTCGAATCCTGTGCGTACATGACCGCAGATGAATAAAATACACATGCTGCACACTTGTTATATTTACAGGTCAGATATACACTCAATTTTTAGACAGGACCAAACTTTTACTAGTCAGTGTCGATCAGACATGCCTTAATGTTAAACCCTGTGTCTGAATGCATAAAGATTATTTGCTTGTTCGATTCTGAACAGATTTTAAAGAAAATTATTAAACTTCTATTAAGAATACTCAAATTTGATTGGCTTGTTAGAAGGCTTTTAAACTCAGTAATGACTCCAAAAAGTACCATTTACAGCAATAATGACCTAGGAATTATTGCACGTGGGGTATAATGACCCTGTCATTATAAATAATGACTGCTTAAAATGACCTGTTAATCTAAATTCCATTCAAATTTAAAAATTAATGCATACAGTAATGACTGTTCATTACAAAAAATGCCATTATAGAAATATGTATAGTCTTTTTATGATACAGAATACGATTGTCCTTTAGATGCGTCATAAAATTTATTATTTTCGTTGAAACTTTCGTTACAATGTCAAATTCAACGAATGCAGAGTTGGCTCTTTTGTACAGTAAAAGTCTACACCAGATTGTCATTGTACTCGGAAATGGTATTTGTGAATTTATAAAAATGCATATTTTTGACAATCACAGAGTATTTTGATAAATCGGCGGTGCCAAAACTTACAAGACTTGCAGGCGAAAAGTAAACAACTTCACCAGCGAATCCCGATCCCGATGAAACACTGATAGTAACAGTTCGTAGGTCTAATACACAATTGATTATTTTAGTAATTAAGCTTACAAAAATTGTCTTAACTTATATCGGTATAATAAAACAATTGATTACCCCTTATGAGGTCAACATGGTGAAATAAGGACCCTCGACCTGGCCCACTCGCTGACCTGACCTGACCTGGGCCGCTACAGGTCAGCGAGTGGGCCAGGTCGAGGGTCCTTATTTCACCATGTTGACCTCATAAGGGGTAATTAATTGTATATTGTTGAACTTAATGAAGGCTAAATTAGCTATAAAAATAACTGACTTTAGATTTGTGTTATCATGAAGAAAAAAATATTAATTGTGCTCCTCCTCTCATTAGCAATATTTATCAAGGTATAACTAAGCGTTTAAGATGGAAAATTTATGCTATGCTACATGTACATATTTTAACTTCAGTATCTTAAATCGTAGGATATCACAAATTTTTTTTTCTAAGACCCATTAGGTTTGATGTTTATATTCCACTCTACTCGTTTACATTTTTTAAAAACATTTTTTAATAATTTTTTTTTTATCATGTTTGTATCACAAATGTAAAGTTTCACTATATATACCATGAAGAATTCTGAATCATACCAGAAACCTTTAATAACAAACGCCAGAAACAAATACAACAAAACAGAAACAGTTGTAACACCCTCTTGATCATCCTCGTGTGCTTTTATGCTACATATTATAATAGATCGGGTTCGAGATTTAGTGCTGTTGGTTGCTAAGCAAATGTAAACAAAAAATGGGGCAAAGTTCCAAGGCTCGACATTGTACGCTCGTCCACTCGTCCAGTACCAGTGAAAATTTTTCATGAACAAGTGATAATTGCTGACCACTTGTCCGATTTGACAAGGTATATTTGTCTAGGAAGAATTTTTATCTTTAATTAGCTGAGCATGAAAACTTAAAGAATTAAAATCTGTTGTCAACTTTTTATCCGAAATTCAAAATGAAAACATGCCATGCATGCAGTTTGTAAATAGTTAAATGTTGATCCTGCTCTTAATAATGACGGCCCTTGTTGTCAAACTTGATCAGGATCAATGTTACTATGAAACTAGTCTGAAATATCTGATGTTTTTCAGGCGTTTGTCACAATTTTTATACATGTATTTGATGTACCAGGAAGTTGACTAAGAACTACTTTGAAACCTGTACTTTTACTGAAGGAAATTTGGGTTTTTATTACCTGGTAGGAGAGCTTTAGCAAAAGACAAAGGATAAGCAAAAGAAGGCAAAGAAAAATTTGAAGTCATATAGCCAGCTATTTCTTGTTGTTACTATTTTTCTTTCATACATGTAATTATATAACATGAGGATAGGATAATACAGTTACCACTCAGAATCTCAAAAACAGACTCAGTGCATGTATTATAGATTATTGTAATGTACAATATTTTTTCGAATTGTTAAATAGGTCTTTTATAAAATATTTTCATACAAGTAAAAGTTATGTTCAGACAAGTAAATTTCACAATCACTTGTCCAAGTGGACATGCAAGTAAGAAAAAACATTAATGTAGAGCCCTGAGTTCTAAACGTCATGAAATCATCCTTGGATTTTTTGTCTAAACTAAATTATTTATAACATATACCACATGGCTTCAAGGGTAACATGCCAGAATATTTTCCCCAATTGTGTCACCCAATGTCGAATGCATATCTTGTCATTTAATTATTCAGTTTTATTTATTTTAATATATCCAAAAACATTATTGCTTATGTAATTGCTAGTTATGAGGACCCCCTGGAGGTAAGCCTATTATGGCAATAGATGGGACTGAAAAAAAAACCCTTTGAGAAACAGATAATTGAGGTTTCAAGAATAGAGGGTAAAGTTCATAAACTAACTGAACTTGAGCACTTAGACATATCCATGGTATTTGAGAAAGAGTTTTAACATACTGAAGTTAAACTGTCATTAACAATTAATTTTATTTCTCCATCTTTTATTTTTGCTCACCTAAGAGAGCTTTTCTGATCAAAATTTGTCTGTTGTCTGTCACTGTTGTTGGCGGCGGTGACATAAAAACTTTTCACATTTTCATCTTTTCTCCAGAACCACTTGGCCTATTTAAACCAAACTTGCCACAGAGCATCCTTGGGTAAAGGAAATTCAGGTTTGTTCATATGAAGGGCTACATCCTTTTTCAAGGGGAAATAATTAAGAATTGGGGTAAATTTAATGGCATCTTTTAAAAATTTTCTTCTCAAGAATCAGTGGACCAGAAAATGAAATTTCTCTGAAAGCTTCATTACTTAGTGGACATTCAGGTTTGTTTAAATCATGAACCCCCGGGGTAGGATGGGGCCACAATGGATAATCAAATTTTTACAAATGGATAAATATACTCATCATGTGTAGTAAAAAAAAAAAATGTAGAACAGCAAGGCCATAGTGACTCGGGTGAGCATTGTTGCTCATGGCCACTTGTTCTTTTTACAGGCATTTTTTACTTTGACAAATTGCACTTAAATAATTTTGAAAGCTTAAATTGGATAATAATTTTTTTATTAACAACAACATTGTTAATCAAACATCCTTTTTGTGGAAATCAAAGACAAAACCAAATGCTTGGGTATTTATTTACAAAGTTTGATTTGTTCATTTTTTTACCATATGAATAATTTACCCTTTCTTTCCAGTAGACCCTTGTTATGCTGTGCTAAGCTTATTATATAGAGCCAGGAAATAGCAAATCAAAATGAACTTGGTCAGTTGTTGTTCTTTGTAGAAAGAGACAATTTCTTTTCAGGTTTTCTTTTTCGGTTTCTCATTTTAGGCCTACAGTATTTATTTTTTGACTCAAATATTAGGAATATTATACCTGTGGGCAATCAATGAATTTAAGGAATACTCTTTTTTTAGGTGCTCATGATGCAACTTCCTGGATGGTGTGTAAACTGTTTATCAGCATGTGAAATCCGCATGATTGAAGGTATCTTACCTATCAATAATATCAATTTTCTCTATTAAAAGCTGCATAAGGAATATATCTTATTTCTGGTCTCAAATTTTTGTTCAAGCATTATTCATTTTTTCTTCATCTTTTATCTAGTGAGGGTCATATTAATTGTTGTATGTAATCAAGGCTTTATAGTACCGATAAATTATAGTGAAATTATTTCCTTGTGTATGGCCTTTAAAGGGGCATAGATACAGATAGTGCAAGGATGTGTCAATCAAACGCATCCCGAAATTTGTAGTTTCAATAATTTCAAGATAAAATAAGTTTTTTATTATATTTCAGTGTGAAATGATATATGTCATGATATAATACAGAAAATTTGAGAAAATATTAGCTTCAAATCTATGTCTATATCCCTCTAAGAGTAACAGGGTAACTTTACTTTTGAAAATAATTTTTCTTATTTCAGGAGAAGTTATGATGCAATCTGCTCACTAAAAAGATTACACCAATACATCCCATACATGTATTTCTACCTATCACCTATGTAACCTTTGTCATGCTCTTCAGAGAGGTAAGAAAACAAAATTATGAAAAAAAAAATTTGGTAAAAGCAACATTTAGAGATCACTTTGCCTGGTGTCTGTCTGTCTGTCATACCCTATATCCTGAGAACTGTAAGAGAAATAAATTTGATACTTTGCACTTCCCGTATGAAATTTAGAGGCGTATTACGCCTGGACTTTTTGCAAATCCTGGCGTACAAGAGACGTATTCTTAAAAATACGGTTCATTTTCAGGCGTACACGTATTTTTGCCAGAAATACGTCTCCTTTTCTCCTGGCGTAAATTCTTAATCCAGGCGTATTTTTTTCTTAGTCTCTTTCGCATAGGGAAATAAAAACTTAGAAAATTTCAAAAGGCGTATTTTTGGAAATCCTGGTGGATTTTCTGACTTAGTCCTTATTATTAAGAGAGCTAGATAAAAATTTTACTTAGACAACTTCAATCTCCTTTATGTAACTATTGAGTTGCTTTTGTGATACATGTATTAAAATTAACCCCCCAAAAAGTATTTACTCCACATGTAAACATTGATTACATTACAATATTGCCTTTGTTGTATTCATTGTATTTATTAAAGCAATTAATTTTAGTAAATTATACTATTCAATCTTAGATTACTGTGCCATTGATTCCCAAATAAAAAAAAATGTTTAATATTATTTCTCTTAACTAAGATGATTTTATTTCTAACAAACTTAGTATATTCTTTCATTAATGGTTTAGTGGCTTAATATAAAATAGCATTTAATTAAATGAATATTTAAGTCCTTAGTTTTAACAAAGCACTATAGCTGATGCTAAAAATAATTTTTCAATCAGTAATTGCATGATCAATGTCTCTATAATAAAACAAAATATAGATGGTATATTCAGATAATATTACATTACCATCTACTTTCTCTTCCCTAGTCTAACCAGTTGGGATTAGGCTAATTACTTACAGATGTGTTGAGCATGTTTAGGAACGACTTATCTGTAATGTTGTAAACCTTTCTAAGAACATCCGGTTTCTCTAGAGCAGTTCTATTATCCACCCTAATCTTTAAAATAAAAGTATAATTCATATAGAAAAAACATCTTGTGTAAACATAAATGAATTTTTGTTATTGTATTCTTTAACAATACAGAATTCTTTTTTCATCAAATTCACATAATGTACTGATTAGATCTCTCAGAAATGATAAAACCGTTTAGGTAACAAGGGGGTTATAAACAACAGCATTATTTACATCCAAGTATTTGCGCCAATTTTAAACCACCAGGAAGGTCATGCCAGGAACAAAGAGATTGGAGAAAGTGGCAACGAAGCACAGATGGTGAAGAGGTGATTATTTTGAAATACATTGCATAACATTAGATTTTTTTACCTAAAAAAATAAGACAGATGCATTTGCTTGATTTGCAGAGCCAGATGTTCATGATTGAAATCGGTCAGTATGACATTGAGTATGTTCTTATGTTTTTCTTTTTCCAGATCATAATCCATAGGATAAATCAGTTGGGCGATCAATTGAATGATGAAATAGTCCATAAATTCTTGAATTTAAGTGAAGAAAAGATCTTGCGAGAGTCAAATGACCAGAATTGCAGCATTTTCCATAGATGCATGCCAATGAACTGCAGCTGTTGAGTGTAGCATCAGGAATGAAGTGTATTTTCAATGCCAGGAGTTATAAAACATGAAAAACATCTTTTTGTGAATATTTCTATGAAAATGTGATTGGAGAATATAATAAGAAATGTGAATGACAAAACTGCTTGTGAATTGCATCTTTTGTGCCAAATAAGGAGTACAGAGAATGGCAGGATTAATCGGCATGATTCTCAATAAAGTGATTTCACTGTGATTATTGAAATGTTGCAACTGCTGACTAAACTAATATGTCAATCTTGTAGGTTAAAATACTGTGAAACAGGAAAAGTTAATGTAAATCTAACATGTGATGTGACTGTGATTTGAAACAGTAAATGTTTGATTCTGATTTTTAATCATTTCTCATTCACATTTAAGCATACTGAAAAGTATTAATAAAATAAAAATTGTGTATGATTGTAAGCTTAATTTGTCTGATCTTTTTTGTATGTATTTATATGCACTTAGACTCCTAGTAATCTATGTACTAAAGTACTTTGTACTTTTATATTTATGTTGGTTGTAGTCCCCATAGCTGTGATAATATTTAATTTGAAATGAATATTTAAGGCAGGCGTATTTTCTATACGGGCGTATTCATTTTACGGGTGTATTTATTTTACGGGCGTATTTTTTTTTTACGGGTATGCTTGATATCTAGGTGTAATTCTATTTTTAAAATTTCCAGGCGTATTTTGAATTTCCAGGCGTACTCATTTACATATTTCGGCTAAAAATACGGTAGGATTACGCCTCTTGTACGCCTGTATTTCACTTTATACGCCTGCTTTTATGTATTCATTTTAATGGAGAATCCACCAGGATTTTAAGAATATAATACGCCTGGATATTTTTTGAAAATACGTGACTAAAATTTCGTACGGGTTGCATTGCCTGGCACTTTGGCTTTTGTAAAACCATATATACAGTCAAACTTGTTTACATTGAAATTTAAGGGACCTTGAGATTTATTTCAAATTAACCGAATTTCATTATATCTGTGTGCTATGAATTACATAAAAAATGTGGATACAGTTGAACTTGGTTATCTCGAACACTGATATCTCGAACACCATAGATATGTCGACTTCGGAAGTGATTTGCCTGTCCCAACCACTTATTCTTTAAGTATTTTACCCTCAATATCTCGAATCCTCAGATATCTCAAAGTTTTTTTGGTCCCTTCGAGTTCGAGTTAACGAGGTTTGACTTTCATATTTTTTTTTACGCAACATTACATGCAGTGTTTCAGAAATATATGTATCTCTACTTTTCAAAGAAGTCCTAATTTTTTTTTTTTTTTAATTTTTGTGTGTGTGTGTGTGTGTGTGTTAGAAAACTATCAAGACTATTTACACACAAAAAAGTTCATCCTGAACATTGCCTCATAGATGCAATGATTTGTCAGGTTCACATCTATAGAACAGCCCTGTCTCATCAGCATTGAAAACATATGCTTCATATACTTCGATTCAAGTTTATTTTCCATTTACTTAGTTACAGTGGATTTATTTACTCTGGCACTTTCTCCACACACCAATTTACACATGACACCCATGTCGGTCTTAATGCCGTAGTTAGAAAATAAAAATGGCTACTAATATGTTCCGGTGATAAATGCTCAATTGTTTTCTTTATACAAGACATAATTAAATTTGCACAGGTCCGACAACATCAAATCACGTGTGAAAAATTAACACGTGCTAGACTTTGTACATAGTCAGTTACCTGAGTCCATGTGTCGCAATTGGCGACTTCAATGTAACTGTCATCAAAACTATAAGCTTTGTGTTCAGCGGACCCCAAAATCACTTTAAATTAACAGAGTTTTTAAATTTAACCGATTTCATTCTAAACGATTATTTATTCAAAGAAACTGTACCAGTATTTTAGGGGAAACCAAATTCATTTCAAACAAACCGATTTTTCAAATAAAGAGAGTTCAATGTAAGTGAGTTCATTACATTACTAATCAGTTGACCTTGACCTTTGACCTACTTTATGAAAATACTCTGGATAGTTGATTTAAGAACAAGGTACAGTTTCAGTACAAATTCAGCCCTGTATTTTTCTAAAATATGAAAGCAATGAAAGAAATTAAAATTTGTGCTTTCTGAATTGTTGAAACTCCATGCACTAAAATCAAACAAATTGTTTTTCTCATTTGACTTCCTAAATGCTAACTGTGACGTCATAAACTTGTGCATTTTCCCGTATTTTCTTAAAAAGTTGCAGAAGACATAAATTTTCAGTGAAATTTTCTTTCATATAATATAGACCACATGCATCACCCACAAAGATTTTTAGAAGTGTGATTTTTCACAGACTTTTACACCACATATCCAAATATTGAAGTGGCGACATCTGTAAACACTATTTTCTCAAGGAAAATACCCCCTGGAATGAGTCATTTTGAGGCTTTTTTGCTTAAAACTTAGAAAAATATGAAATTAATGATGTCATATTTCCAGAATGGTACACCTTCATGCCATATTCTTTCATGAATTATCAAACTCATATACTCAACTCATATTTATGCCGATTTCAACACATTTTGAAAACATTAAATTTTCAAGGCACAATAAGGCCAAAACCGTACCTTCTTCTTTATTTATTAATTTACTTTTTTTTTGATTTTGAGAGGCAGGATTTTGATAATTATTTGTATCACATGTTACTGTATATGAGCTCATGACACTGTACTTTGAAACTGTATGCAATATTACCACACAAACAATTTAAATACAATGAAAATATATCAGGATGGGTATACCAAAAGTATCATTATAGACTGAACAGAGACTGAAATCTCTTGGAAGATAGCTGGGATAAAGATATATCTATTAATGTCAAGATCTAGTAAACGAAAAGAGCTTACAGATTTCTCAAACTTGAGAAATAAATTCCTTTTATGATGCTTTATAACTATAGCTCGGTCAAATAAGGTGTATCGGGGCATAATTTGCAAGAAAACAAGACGAAAAACCATCTTGTAAACTGTCATTTTCAATGAAAAATTAAGAAAGCCAGTCACGAATATGGGAGTTTTTTCCATATCAGACGAAGGAAATGTATTCAGATTGCCTACAGTCTCTCAGAAAACGGTAATTTGTATGTTCTTAGCCTCTTCTTTAAAATAATGTAAAATTGAATATAGGTATCGGGATTACTTTTCATATGATTTCAAATTGAATGCCATGAAAATACTTTATTTTCTACATAATTCTATTGGAGCTGTAAAGTACGCGAAAAGGAAAGTTTGAATTGATTATGACGTCATAATGGATCTAGCACCGAAAAGACGGTCTAAAGTCATTTACTAGATCTTGACCTTAAAAATAATTATTTTAATTAATTTCAATTTTATAATTCACTTTAGCTTTGAAGGGTGGGGAATAATATATCTATTGTCAGATTTTATAGGATAATGTTATTCTATATGGGTCTTACTATTTGTGGATTTTTTTCTTTGCTATGTAAGGGCTATTTTGAAATTAATGAGACATTTACTTTTACTCCATAAAAAAAGAGATAAATTCATGAAAATTTGTCAGCATTTTATCAAGAACAAATAAAACAGCTATGCAAAATTTCTAATTGATAGGATAATTAGACATGTCCCATTGGAATTATAAACTTGCATATGTCTATTGACCTAAAGCAGCATTGCTTCTTCATTTTTACCTCATGCCAGCCATAGATCTTTACTCATTTTGAGACAGTTTGGCTTTAATGCTTTAATGCTTCTTTCTCTGTCATCACAGAAACTACTCAACTGATTGAGATGAAACCTTTTTTAGGGTTAACAGGCGTGTTGTGTAGATGTGGAGAACGAAGGTCATTTTACCCACACTTGCATGCATGCGCGTGCAAGGAGTGAAATGACTGAAGTAATTAAAACACCATTAACCTTCCTGTTTTTTTATGATATGCTTTGAACCTCATTGTATAAACTTATATTAGTGGTGTAGACAAGAAGAGTGGTTGAATTAGCAAGAGAGCATGTGCATGAATTTCTGTTTGACTCTTTAAATCTTAATAACCTTTGTGTTTTTTGATGAAATGCTTTGAAATTTAAAACATAGTCATACACAACAAGGCTCTACATTTTGAGATATATATGAGTTATTGTGAAAACACACTCATGCAAGTGTGCTGCAATTTGATTGGCTTAAACTTTAAATAGCTGTTACACTACTAACTTTCTTAGTTTTTAACAAAACAAGATTGAAATTAGAATAAAGATAGGTGTAATGGGTTCCTACATTGTGCTACAGTAACTATAAAAATTGAATGCAAGAACCTGGATTCTGATTTGCTAATATTTATATGGCTGTATCTCTCATAGTTTTCAATGAAAATCTTTAGATTTCGTACATAGCTATTTATTGTGAGTCTTTTACGAGGAAGGAATATGAAATATTTAGAAAATATGGGCATGCACATGCACTAGAGGTGTAACGATACAGCAATACATCGATCGTATTGATCACAAGGGCTGACGATACGCATATTGTATTGCCATGTATGTATTGTGATACAGTAGAAGATAATTTTCATTGTTTTGTTTGTAACTTCTACATACAACCTAACAAATTTTAATGCTTTGAAGTGGCTGAAAAAGGGTAGCAAAGAAAAAATACAATATCAAGACTATAAATCCACCTTTTATTAACTTTTGTAAGGGTTATCAAGATATTCTTTGTATATATTTTCTATAACTGTGGAGTTAGCAAAGAATTATATGTTAAGATATAGCTTAATTCAATTGTTGACAGCTGTAACATGATACATGTTGTATATCGCATGATTGTATCATTAGGTAGCTTGCGATACTCAGGCCTAGCATGCGCTGAAATCTGATTGGCTAATACTCGAAGAACAATACCAGTGTTGTTTTTCGATGAAATATTACTGAAAATAAAGTATAGATTTATTAAACAAAAGATTTGCATAATTAAATGAAGCTTGTAATGAATGGGGCCCATAAGAGAATGGGGAAGTGTTTGGGGAACAAATGAAACAGTTCCCATTACAGTTAGCACTAGTTGTTATTGTTTTAGCAGATCTTTTAGTCTGGAAAAGAGTTCTCCACAGAGCTACATAAAATTCTAGGTATGCTTGCTGTGTCGCATTGACATCAAAATCCATTTTATTGCTGTAATCAGGTATCTATACCAAGCTTAAATTTTTTTATGATCTCCGTATTTCTGATTGAAATTCTAAGAAGCTTGCACAAAATGAATTTAAATAAAATTGAAAAAATACATACTGATATATATAATTTGAATAATTTTCGCTCTTGCTATGGGTCCACTGGGAGTTTGAACATAGGTGTTACATATTTCATTATATGATTTCGGGCGGCACCAGGTACGGTAACCCCTTCTATTTACCAGGGTTGGTCGGGAAATACCAGTGGTGGGAATTACCAGTGGTAAATACCGGTATTTCCCGTCCAGGAAAATACAAAGTTTAAGTTTTTTATTGCTTTAATTCATTCAATCTTATACAAAATTTAAAAATAAAATAAACACAAAAATAGAAAATGAACAATATTGAATATGTCTCAAACTGCAATTTAACATATTCAAAGTGTATCACTACTCCAGTTTCCATACCCATAAGCATTCAGAAACATCTCCCTGGCTGTATAAAACTGAAGTTTTCCAATTCAAGTTTCTTTTCAGTTTTGTAAAATTATTAAGCTTATCAATTATAAATCCAAGAACAAAACAGACTTGTTTTAATCCTTCTATTAACACCATAGTTATTACAATCAATCATGTTGTTTTATCAAATTGCTCGGGACAGTTTTGTGCTCCTGTTTTGAGATACAATTACCTTGAGAGGAACTGAAAGGCTTCTTCTTAGCTTTGATATTTATACCATACTCTACACTTGAGAATTTTCTTAGATCCTTCTTTAGTTACATAAAAAAATTCTATTGGGATGTTTGGGTTCCTTTCATGGACCTTTATCTGACTCAAGCATGAAGCAAATGACACTCATGACTGGTGTATGAATATACTGTTTTATGATTATAGAAAATGAATTACTTGGAAACCAGAATTTTTCAAATAAGGGACAGTGATACCAGGTAGATATCTTAGCCAATCAGGTGTACTACATGTCAATATGAATGAATATGTAGCTATTTCTTATTTCCCAGTATTTCCCAGGAAATACCAGTAATTCCCGGTAATTACCAGTATTTCTCACCGTCCTGGGAAATATGAGTATTTCTCAGTTTTTTTGCCAACCCTGCTATTTACCCATTAATATACCATTGAAAAGAAGAAATAAAATATTTGTAAAATATTCCTTGCTTTTATTAATTCTTAGTGTTTGACAAACGTATATGCCAATTTTCACCAAAAGGCATTACTTGGAAAGAAAAATAAACACTATGTACTAATAATCTCTGAACAGCCTTCATAATGCTTGTATCAAATCATATTTGACCACCCTTAGATTTTCTTTTAATCTTTAATAATAATGCTGTTCATCAGGTGACACATGTGTTCCTTGGAACACTCTTTTAATTTTAGCTAGCAAGATTATTTGGACTTAAAAGTCAAGTTAATAATCTTTTAACAAACATTTTCTTCTGTCATGTTTAATTCATAGTCACTAGGCAACACTGAAATTTCCACTCATTGCTTTTTAGTCATCGACAGGAAAAGGAATTACCGGTAAGTTGACAGGACTTTCCACACTGTTTCTGGTAGCAGCTTACATGTGTATGATTGAATTGATGGTAGAAGACATGGCCCACTTAATCAAAGGTAAATCTCATGGAATAGTGCTAATAGTACTGATATTTTTTTTACTCTGTTTTGCATTGAAGCTTTAGGTCAAAGGCAAATTTTCTTTGTGTGGATTCTTTTATTCTTCTCAGATATGTGTGGCTGCTAATTGAGCCATAGTTGTCTGTTTTCTTTGAGAATCAAAGAACTGCAGCAAGTCTTTTAAGTTTTCAATGAAATTTCCTTGTTTTTTCAGATAATCTGTATAGATCGGCACCTTAACCATCACTGGTGAAATAGAAGACGACTAGTGGATAGTCATCACTTTGCAGCTCAATTTCACTTTCTGCAGCCCATCTCT